CAATGGGGGGATGGAGGTGTACCAAGTCAGGGCATTTAGGTGGCCCATCCAGGCCAATGCCGACCCTTTCTTAATCCGAGACTTTTCTGGCGAGCGAAAGGCATCGAGATCTTCGGCGGTCCATTTTGGCTGGTCGGGAATGGTGAGCTCGATGCCGGTCAGGTTCGCGGCGAAGATGAGGTCTTTTCGGCGGGGAGAGGTGGCATGCGACACGGCGAGGACTGCGCCAAACTTTAGATGACATGTTATCAGTTTAGACCTTTTGACTTTCAAGAAGAGCCTGAGACTTTGAAGACGACGCCAAATGTGGAGAGGAAGTACGTACTCCCAAAGTCGCATTCGCCGGCACAAGCCCGTGGGAGGGCTTTAACGGAACAGGTAGCCTCCAGCTAGCATTAAAGAAGAAGTAGAGAGTGGGTATGAGACAGAGTGCAAGCAACAGTATCAAGCGTCGTAGTTGCGTGTCCATGATTGTGTGAACTCGGGCGTCATGGAAATTATGGACAATTATGGTGAATGGCCAGTTGGTGGTTGAGCCAGTCGACAGGTGACAGTGACAGGGCGTGTTCGGGCCCAAAGGCGCTCATCTCTCACTAATCCGGGAGCGTTTTGCGCGCAGATTTCAGCCTCGTAATAATTTGGCTGTCTGTCATGATTAGCGGCCGTCCCCTGGCCAGCTGCTGCCCCGGCCTGCCCGAGACTGGGGGTTAAAAAAGGCCAATACCCCCTTAAGGCGATCCCGGTTAATTAGCCTTGCATAACTTTGCGCATCTTTCCCCACTGTTCACTGCAGCAAGAATCCATCCAGGAACACCACAGGAACGCAACACGAGAGGAATGTCGCAAAACATGCCGACCGACAATGTCTCAACCCCCGAGTCTACAAAGTTCTCGCGCTACCGTTCGGTGCGGAAAGCTCAGGAGCAGAAGCTGGAGCAGTTAAAACAACATCAGCCCCCGGCCATGCCATCACAGGAACCTCAGAAAGACCAAGCTGTGATCAGGAGCATGTCGCGATACCATCGCCAGCATCCTACCACCTCTGGCTCCAATACTCAGAAACTTCCGCCAGTGCACGCCTCGCCCGCCGTGAGACGCGCAAATACTCAACACCAGCTAGACCACGCTTCAGCTTCCCTCGCCGCTGCGCACGCGACATCAAACTCGCGCATACGAGCTGGAAGTACGCCTGTAACGAGTCAGCAACAACAGCAGCAATTGCGCAATGGTAGCAATGCTCAGAGCAAGTCGCCGCCTTCGTCTAGGACGCCTCCCGAACCTGTTCCATTGGTGAAGCGGGGCGCCAGGGAGCCACCGCCAACAGCACGCGAGGAGGCGAGACAATTGATTCAGGGAGAAACAGAGCGACAGAAACAGGTTCAGGCGAAGCTAAGGGCGGATAAAAGGGCCAAGTTGGAAGCTGAACAAGCGGAAAGGGACAAGTTGGAAAGGGCAGCCGAAGAAGCTGAGCGTATCAGAGCTCAACAGGAGGCAGAGGAGGCTGAACGTCTCAGGCTCGAGAAAGAGGCGGAATTGCTGGAGCGAGGTAAACGATTGCAAAAAGCCGAGAGTGCCAGTCGGATCAAAGCAAGCAGAGAAGAGGAGGAGAGGCAAGCGAGACTCAAATGGGCTCAGGAGTCTACACATAGAGTTCACAAGCCAGTACAGCTCAATGACGACCTGGCGGATCATGAACCGCAGCCTCAGACGAGGCCCCAGACCAGACATCAGACTTCTCCACAACAAACACCCCAACAAACACCTCCACCGCCATCGCCATCAAAACAGGGCATGAAGTTAGGTATTTTCAAGAGGCGAAAGGCAGAGGATTCACCTGAAAATCCTGCCACTACCTCGAAGTCAAAACAGAGAAGTAATACGATTGCTAATGACAATGGGCCTCCCACCACCATCATACCAGGAGGTGGAGGTGCAGTTCCGGGGATTGACGCCCCTAAATCTGCCGTTAATGCTGGAGACAGGGTAAGAAACTGTGTCTGATAAGTCATACAATCTGCTAATCCAACATTCTAGCGTGTTAGGGTTGAATGCAACAAGTCTTTCATACTCCTTCCAGTCACCCCTACTACGACGCCGTTAGATCTAATTCGCTCAGCTTCTACATGTCTCTCAGAACCTATCAATGCCAAAGCCTCCGTTCTCCTCGAATCATTCAGCAAAGTTGGATTGCAGCGGCCACTCCGACATTATGAGCATGTTCGCGATGTGATGAATTCGTGGGACGATGACAAGCAGTTCAGCCTTGTTCTCGTAGACTCGGCGTCTGGAGGCATTGACGAAGAATTGAGCTCCTCCCAAGTACCATCGTCAAGACCTGATGGGATAACCTGTTTTATCCAATACTCACAAAAACCTGGAAAGTGGTCTAAGCGCTGGGTCACGCTTAGATCTGACGGGCAGATGCTGTTAGCAAAGAACGAGGCAGGAAAAGAAAGTGCAAATGTTTGCCATCTGTCCGATTTTGATATCTACTCTCCCACACCTCGAAAGCTCAAATCTGTCAGGCCACCTAAAAAGATCTGTTTTGCTGTAAAAAGTCAACAGAAGTCATCGATATTCACAGACGAGTCTAGTTTCGTGCATTTCTTCTCTATCCCCGATAAAGAGACTGGCACGGCATTCTACAAAGCCATTCAGGGGTGGAGAAGCTGGTATCTTGTTAACGTCATGGGTGAGGGTCAACAGAAGCCCAAGGCTGCAGATTCCACGGGTAGCAACGGTTATTCAGGGGATCGAAACATGTCGGGAAGCAAACCACAAAGCAACGTCTCAGGTCTCCACACAAGAAACGCTTCAGTAGATTCTCACTACCAACTCGGGACATTCAGTCCTCTTTTGGATCTTAGTCAGTTTGGCCAGGAAGATAAACGAGACCGCAGGGGCGAAACGTCCTTTGCGAATGACATGCTCTCTGCGATAGACACAAAAGCCTTACACAGCCGCAAGCTTTCGACCCGAATAAAAGGCTATCCGCCAGTTTCCTACAAACCGGGCCACATCAGCAAAGACAGCATCAGTCACAACTCCAACCGACTCAACTCTCTCACCCAAAGCACATCTTCTCACTCCGCCGACGAAGAAACTTTCGCACCTACTGGCCTCCTCGGCCGCACATACTCGCAACGCCAGCGCCAGCAACAAGAACGCGAAAAGAAAAACACCCCCTTTACCGACGGACCCTCCCTCCTCAACTCCTTCAACGCGACCACCTCTTATATCACGCACGCCTCGTTTGAATCCGCCGGCGGCGGAGGTGGCCTCGGCCGCAACGCCTCTGTCCGCAGCACTACCCGCAGCCGTGAGTCCAGCGACCTCCACCGCAACAGTTCCACCCGCGTCAAACCAAAACCCCTCATCGATCTCACCCCGCAGTACCGCGAGCCGCCCCAGCACGCCCGCAAGGGTAAGGGCTTCGTCCCTGATACGATGGGAACGCAGCCCCTGATCTCGAGCGCCACATCCCCGGAGGAAGCCATCAAGATCCCCCCTTCTACGGACTGGCGCGCTCGCCCTAGCATTCCCGCTGGTGCAGGCATAGGCCATGGTACTTATGGAGGTGGCGGGCACGAGCGCACGCGCTCCCTACGTGTCGGTGGTGGTGGCGCCATGCCGACCGGACTGGCTGCCTATGCCGCAAACAACCATTCCGGTGCTCCCGAGGACGAGACCGATGCGTTCACCGGACGCGGGCTGCTCGCGCACACGGGGTTCAGCCAAGGCGGGGTCGGCGTCGGACACGGGGTTATGGATGGGTCGAAGGCGAAAGGTCCCATGCTGGATGTGAGTGACAGAAGCCAGTTTGTGCCGGGAAGCCTGCTGGCAGGGGTGGAGAAGGTGCAGGGGCCGGCGGGACCGGTGATTGAGCGGGAGAAGAGGAGGAGTTGGGAGGTTTCTGTTGGGGAGGGGATGTGAAATGGTGGCCTCCTTTTCCTTTCCTTCCTTTTTATCCCTTTGGTATGTTAAAGATGGGGAAGATGATACGGCTATTATGAGTGAGGACTACGACTATGGACCATGAGGGATAAGATGAAAATAATGGCAGGGCATAGGGATATGGGCAGAGGAGCCATCGGATTACGTCAGGTTTATCGGATCTGGATCTGAAACTGAGCTTATCTACTGGGTGTTCTAGCTGGTGGAGGAGTTATGGGGGGCTGGTTTCTTGCTGGGTGTACTTGTCATACTTCATCTCAGGCGTCTGCTTCAGCTGCTCTTCCACATTACCATCATTATTGCACCTCTAGCATTTTGTTCCCCCTCGCATGACGGCTTTTGCAATTTAAACCCTGCGTTTCCAGACGCCGTGGTATTTTCCAATTCCATCTCCAAACTTCCAAACCTCCGAAGACGTCTTTACCACGATGGGTAGCAGGAAGAATGACCTTTCTCGTTGATATGATTGGACTAGCTAGACTAGATTCCCGGGTAGCTTAAGTACGAGCCCCGCCAGCAGAAGAAGGAGGCTGTATCGTATCCCAATGCTGTAATAAAACCCGCTCAGGCTCCTTTTGAGTGTCAAGAGAACTTGTGATATTCTTGAACAATCTGAAATTGATAATTGCTGAAGTCGAATAAAATAAATATAATTAAAGATATGAATAAGTTTAAAATAAATAATGAAGACTAGAGTTTTAATTACAATTCTCATGTATTTAGGTGTACTGTACACTTGGTGGGTGATGGCAGTATAAGCACCTCCAGAGTGGAAAGGGGGGCTCGAACCCTTGGGGGGGTGTATGAAATGATATTGGGTCCAGCTCCGCCTCAGCCACCGACAACAAAAGACAGGCGCAACACTGCAAATTAAGTGGATAGATAGTGCTATTCAAATGATTTCCACTAATATTTTGTTTCTCGAATTTAGATGCGATTTGGTGGTGTAGGAGTAGTTAAGGATTTTCGCATCTATACGCGTTTAGCGATTAAAATATATTATATAGATTGAAGTCTTTTTTTAACCTCCATCAAATAAATAGAAAGCCCCTTTAGCTCAGTTGGTAGAGGTAAGCGCCTGACATCACTAAACATTAAATGAGTTTAAACTAATAAAATAAACAGCGCGGCACTAGTAATGCCGAGGTCGCCGGTTCGACTCCGTCAGGGGGCAGTTTCTTTTTTTTGCACTTACAGATTTCAAATCGAAATTGTAAGTTTCTTTTGCGGGGCCCTTTGATTATTCGATAATTGGTAAGTCTTTTTTATTAGCAAGAGGCTGCCTGGCGATAACGGGGTTTTCAGGGCTTGCCACAGGTGGCATGGGTTTTGTCTTTGTGAAGAGTTTTGGAATGGGCACATATTTTAGGGTAGCAAGATATCTCTACGCTCTGCATCCTCCAAGCTCTCGGGAGTACGCCAATGAGCACACTCAACGGATGAAGCAATGTCATGTGCATATAACACCAAGTACTTCCAGACGCCGTGGTATTGCAACGCACGCCGGACCACTATTTCAATTACATTTTCAAATCTCCAAACATGTCTTTTGCCCTCTCCGGAGCTCTGACGCAATATCGCCTTATTTGAGGCGCTTAATGTAAGTGCTCAACTTTCTTGGCCTTATATCGGGCTCTATTGTTTATGGGTTCGATTTGAGTCTTCGATGCAAGCAGGAGGTCCTCGCATGGACAGCTCCAGAGTAGGGCCTATCCATACTGCTGCCCCTACTGCCCGGCCTGCGCTTCCAATACACGTTGCTTACCTCCAGTCTCTGCTGCTTCAGTGGTAAGGCTATAGATCGCTACTGTGACCAGTCTGCATGCCAGCCGCTCTGCACTAGAATTGAGAGTGTTCGACGCGACGCCTAGCCGACCCTAGAGTAAACCTGTAGACTTTCGGTGCCCTGTCGGAGATTTAAGACGGTACTTGTCTTCCTGTTCTCCGGATAACTAGTGGTGTTTATGAACTTGGCTTGGGAAAGAGTCCATTGAAAGGGCTGGTGAAGAGAGTTCAGGAACCGGCCCATTATTTAGAGTCCTGTGTTTGGATGCTTGAGAATTTTCTTGCATTCTTTCTCCAAAGCTTCAATCCGGGAGCCGTTTGCTGTGTTGGGGTTGCCCGTTAAGCATTCGATTGTGTCTCGATATGATTTCGGTTGATTGGGAAGTTGGCCAAATTTTCAAGGCTGGGCATTGGCTCTTCAAGATAGAGCCCCAAATTGGAATGGATAAATACGTGATCAACACTAATCCAGTTGCAAGGATTTAGAAGGCCAAATCCGAAGGACACGCTTGCGCGATGCTCAGTTCTGTTCGGATATTGACAAGCATCACAACCTACGTCAAAAAGATGGCCCTCGAGTCAAAAACAACATATCTGGAAAAGTGTAGAGCTCCCAGGTCTCGGGGAAGATGTGGTACATTCCATCCTTCTGTTCTAACCTACATATCTAGAGTCCCAGCGCCACTAGGTCTTTTCTCCCAGCCTGTACCTTCATCTCGCGTCCGACCATTAGAGAGGAACAGTCGTGATATATACTCTAAGAGCCTGTTCAAAGGCTCTCGAACGTTGAGAATATTAATATCGTCTAATTAGGTGATTCCCGAAACCCTTTCCAGCCTTACTTGGGCCTGCCAATATTCATTGGGTGTAAAGAGAAGGTGTTTACATACCTTGCGCTCTGGCACTTTGCGTCTTGAATCAAAGTAAACGCGTAGATCTTTTTATGGTGAGATATATGACTTTAGTACATCGTGAATATCTTTCAGTATCACGAAATAATTAGCACAAGATTCGGTGGTGGCTTGCAATTTGGTATACGATACTTGAAGAGAAGAGAAATAGCGATGTGAAATATTTAGATCCATCGAGAGAGCTGCTGTCCATCAGTAAATAGACCGAGCCTGCAGCAAACTGGACAATGTGAGATGATTCCTTTCCATACTTCATAAAGGGTTTGGGTTCTTGATACTGGAAAGAAGGAGAACCGTTCCAGGCTCGGGGAGCATGGGAACTCACGCTTCCAACCAAATGAAGTCTTTCCACCGCTCCTAATCCAACGAACCTGCTTGGGATCACTCATACAGCTGGCCCAGATAATTCCATTGGCATTGTGTGGGGAAATCAGGATGATGCAGAACACAGCGCAAATGACCTTTAGTAATTTACGTAGTACACTGAAGACTTCCAGCTTTAACCAGGATGACAACAAATTGTACACTCTTAAGTTAGGTGAAGTTGCTTTATGAAGCTATCACAAGACCGAATTCAGTTTAAAATAGTGACCAATCTCGCAAGCAACGTAAACGGCACCGTAGAACTCGCTCATCGACCCGCTCTCCAGCTCCAGCGTGCATTTGGTCCCATACTAGCTTCAATATCACTCCAGCCCATCTAGACCACTGCGACCACTCCTTCTGCAAGTTTAATGTTCTCTTCCGCACTGAGGAATAGCTGTATCTCAGGTAGATTTCCCAGCTGCTTTGAGGAAAATAGTGACACTGGATGTCGAAAGCCGCAAAAGCCGCAAAAGCTTCATAAAATCATATATGGACAATCCACAATTTCTTAGTTTCGGGAATCGCGGAGCTGATGACGGTGGAGATAGTCACGGCCTAGAAACTCGCGCGAGAGCCTCTAATCGAAACGGCCTAACGGAAAGAATTCTTCGTGGAGGGAAAGAGTACACCACATTTTCTGGCATGTCTGGCGCAAAGCAGGCATTCAGCTTGGCGGAAAGAACTCCCTGGTGATGAGATGAGGAGTAGTTTGTCGGCTAGTGGACATATTTGGGTTGTGTTGTAAAGGAACCCAGTCGTTTTGGTCGAGGGCTGAATCGTGACAAAGAGCCTATCGGGCGAATGTTCCAGGGGCCTCACCCCGACATATTGAAAGTGCGAAGCGAAGAAGCTGTATATATTTTTGCAAATGGTTTGGTAGCCTGGTGCATGCCCAAGGGGTTTAAGAATTCTGAGAGCGGAGGCTGTTACTTTGGGCTTCCTGCGGGCCAAGTTCCAATGGAACAAGCGCCTTATTGGCCATGTCGTTGAGACCTGGAAATGGTAAGCTGCACTCGCGCAGTTAGGACTTGAGAGTCTGGGAGATGGGTGAGACAATATGAAAGAAAGGTAGATACTTCTGTCTGATTAGTGCGAAGTTTGATGAAAAGTAAAATGGAAAATGGACCATTAAAGCATGCTGCCAACTTCCAACGGAGTGCTTGCTGAAGTAACGATTAGGCGTACGTTGTGCAACCCATTTAGTTCGCCTCGAATCTGCGGAGATTGTACACGCCTATGAACTATGGAGCTTGAAAAGCAGAGGCTCGAGGACAAGCCATGCAGCATGGAGCAAGATCGATAGGTGGGTCGTAAGGCCGATTTATATGTGCTTTGGAGAAGTTTCCCGCATGCCCAGAGATGCAGCAGTTAAAGGCAAGCAACTACAACCACCACCTTAAGAAGGCGGGATAAGAAAGCTCTGCAACGAATGAGTCTGTAGAGGCCCCATGAGACCGGTATTGAGCCAAATCCATTGCCAGACGAATAAAAATGCTCGAAATGAGTTACAATTGCGTGTAGAAACGGAGAGAGACGCCAAAAGTCTGAATATTGGTTGCAGAAAGAACCATTATATGGACTCTATGAGGGCTAATGAGCGAAAGAGCTGGAGAGAAAAGTGGATATAATCGTATATAATAATGGAGTGAGGCTAGCCTGGCCCTTGCTCGTCTTCGCACTCCGGCCCGTCTCACCTCCGAAGTTCTCCAACTCCTCGAAAGTTGGCGCCGATCACCAGAAAACCCGCATGGCCTCTGCAAAGAGCTGCGTCGCTCAATTGAGCAAATCGGCACTCTCATCATCTCTTCGACCTCATATCCTACTTCCACAAACCATCTTTCTCCCCTCTCAGCAGTTCCGAGGCGCTGCGACAGGAACCTCAGCCAACGCCCAAAAGTACAAACGAAAAGATCAACCTGGCGCGCAGAAGAAGAAGAAAGCACGGTCAACCTTTATTCAATATGATATCCGTGATGCAGAGCAGTTCGCTCTGTGTGATGCCATGCAGTATGTAGCAAATATCCATCTCCTGTGGAAGCAGAGTAAAGACAGCAGATTGATCAAGAACAGATACATTCGGGCATTCGAAGTCGGCCGAATACCAACCTCCGTAAAATACGAAATGCACGTCAAGCTGCGCACACTGAAGAACGGGCCTGCGGTCCGTAATCGCCTACGGCTGCCGCATCCCGTCAAGACGGATCTCAGAATATGTGTTATTTGCCCACCGGACTCGAAAGCTGCTGCGGACGCGAAGGCTGCGGGTGCAGCTCTTGTTGGGGAGGATGAGGTGTTTCAACTGATCAAGAATGGGACGATCGATTTTGAAAGATGTATCTGTTATGTCGATTCGCTGCAGAAACTGAATAAAGCGGGATTGGGAAGGATATTGGGACCGAAGGGGTTGATGCCCAGCTCAAAGACTGGGACGGTGGTAAAGGATGTTGCTGCTACTGTTAGAGATATGGTGGGCGGGAGTGAATACAGGGAGAGATTGGGCGTGATTAGGATGGCCATTGGGCAGCTGGGGTTCACGCCGGAGGAGATGCAGAGAAACATTCGGGCATTTATGGAAAATGTGAAGAAGGATATTGCGCAGATGAGTGATAGGATATCAAAGGATATTCATGAAGTGGTATGTCTTGCGAGTCGAGGACAAACGAGGCCAAGCTAATAGAGTATAGGTGTTGAGTTCGACCAACTCCCCAGGGTTCAGCTTGAATGGCGAGTTCAGGAGTCCAAATTCAGTGCCGACAAACGAGTTGTTGACCTTGTAGATGTTGTAAATTTATTGTATAGATAGATAGTGTATCATCATGGGTATCGTCCTAACGCCCTGGCTATGCTTCCATTCCATTTGGCCTCTTGACGCTGCCTTCAATTTTTAAGACCCTTCAGCACTTTTACTGCTTCTCTAGCTTCGTCCATTTCGCGATAGATGCTTATTATCTTCATCACTCGGTCCAACCCATCGACACCGGCACTCTTGGCTTGCTTGAGTGCAGTGCTGAGATCAAGCAACAGTGTATTCCGAACCTTCATCATCCGTGCTTCCTGCGCTATGATAAACGGATGATCGGAGCCAATCCCCTCGGAGGATTTCTGAACAAGA